TCATTGTTGTTTGGTGGGCCTGGGCTGGATTTGAACCCGCCACCTTAGGTGTATGTGGCTGGTGCCTTAGCTACTTGAGCCACAGACACCAAGCTAATAAAATTTATTTCTTAAGCCTTCAAAGGTCGTTTTATTTTCATCACTTTGGCAGGAATCTTTGAGAAATGTGTGCCATATCTTAACTGCCTTTTAATAAAGTATACTATATTTAGGGTTTTTTTGATAATTCACATGCAAGGATTTATAGGAGTTCTGCCTTTCCCACATTTATAGATAACCACCCCCTTGGTTATGAAATTTCTTCTGTACAATCTAGCATTTTTACTGACAGAAACATTCAGTTTCATGAGTCACTTTATGATCTGAGGAGAGCATGTGAAGAGCTATTTCATATCAACAATCCTAGGCAACTTATCTTTTATCGAAAACATAGTTTCTAGCCAAGAACCTTCTATTTCTTAGACCTGTTCACATCTATTATCAACTCTAGTAGCTGTTTTTTTCTTTTGTCAGGATCATTTTTACTAAGAAGGAATACTTTTATCATTTTTCTAGTTTCTGAACATATGGCAACCTGTAAATGACATTAAAGCCAAAATCAGATATAGATGCTGGGCAGCCACCTGGATTTCTTCTAACCCAAGTGGCTGACTCACTTTCCATGTAAGTCAGCCACATGTCATTCAGAATCATGTCTCAGCAAAATCATATATGATAGATCTTTGGGGCACTTAATTGAAACCACAGTAATGAAACTTTGGAGTCCAAAACAAAGTTCTCTTTTCTGTAGTTTGATGGTATCATCACGGATGCTCTTGAGTGCGTAGAACCTTTTGCCCCTGCATTAAATGACCAGATTTTTACCTCTTTTCAATTCTTACATCTGCTTTATATGGCTTTTTCTGTCTGTACCCTTATTAGGTGATTACTACTCTTTGCTTTGCATAAAACAGCCCATTTCCATTCAGATTTTATAATTCCTAATCTGCTTTGACCAGACCACAGAGATTGTTAGAATTGTATTTATATGAAAAGTCTGTAAACCTAGAGTCTTCACATTAATACAGGGATCGGAGCTAGCTTCAGGCATGCAAAGTTGATGAGTACAGAGGAAGTACAGGATATTTGGGATATATGTTTTATATTTAGTATTATACTGTAGTTGTATTGTTTTAATTATTCCTAAAGTAGTTAGAGTTTCTTTTTCTTTCTCCATAGGAACTTCCATGTACCAGTCTCAAAAGTGAAGGTATGATTGGGAAGGGGCCTGAGGGATTTCTGAGATGAGAGTAATCTATATTTTGATAGAGGGTTGGGTTATGTAACTGTCAAAATTCAGCAAAGATACACTTAAGATTTATGCATTTCACTGTATAACTTTTACCTGCAAAGGGGGAAAAAAAATCCTAAATCAAATTCTAGATAATGAAATGCTGAAAAATTTAAGCTAAGTGTGCTCACCTCTACAGCTTTCTTTGAAATGCATTTAAAAATGAGGTAAATTGATAAGATGGATAAAAGAATGAATAGATATATGAAAAAGTATGTTAATGGTAGAATCTAGGTAGGGTACATGGGTGTTCTCTGTAAAATTGTTTCAATATTTTTATTTTTTTTGAATTTTTTTTTTTTTTTTTTTTTTGAGACAGAGCCTCAAGCTGTCCCCCTGGGTAGAGTGCCATGGCTTCACTGCTCACAGCAACCTCCAACTCCTGGGCTCAAGCGAGTCTCTTGCCTCAGCCTCCCAAGTAGCTGGGACCACAGGCGCCCGCCACAACGCCCGGCTATTTTTTGGTTGCAGCCATTATTGTTGTTTGGCGGGCCCGGGCTGGGGATTCGAACCCACCACCTTAGGTGTATGTGGCTGGCGCCTTAGCTGCTGGAGCCACAGGCGCCGAGCCTTTTTTTGAAATTTTTATAAATTCTTGAGAGAGTGGGGAGTGACTGTAAATGACCACTAATGAAGCAAACCTTTGATGCACTGCCTCTGATGTTTGTTCCCCTTAAGGAGTGATAGGACTGCTGGATACATGGAGCAGGGACGTAGCAGCAGCCTTGAGGCCTAGAATATTATCTCTTCCTTAGGCCTGGATCCTGATTTTCCACACTCTTTTGTTTCCATCCTAGTTTTAATAACCATCACACAATCTTCTTCAAGCCAATAAAAACTTTTTTAGGCTCAGCGCCTGTGGCTCAAGCAGTTAAGGCACCAGCCACATACACCTGAGCTGGCGGGTTCGAATCCAGCCCGGTCCCACCAAACAACAATGACAGCAGTGACCAAAAAATAGCCGGGTGTTGTGGCGGGCACCTGTAGTCCCACCTACTTGGGAGGCAGAGACAGGAGAATTGCTTGAGCCCAGGAGTTGGAGGTTGCTATGAGCTGTGATGCCATGGCACTCTACCCAGGGCAACAGCTTGAGGCTCTGTCTCAAAAATAAAAAAATAAAAAACTTTTTTAGAAAAGTGATAGAAGCTAGCACTCGGGAGGCTGAGGCAGGTGGATGCCTGAGCTCACAGGTTCCAAACCAGCCTGAGCTGGAGTGAGACCCCATTGCCCCAAGAAACCTAGAAGATATATATATGAGAAGCTCCAACAACTGGCCCCATTTTGCCCATTTTTAATCAGATTATTTGATTTATTTCCTCTTGAGTTGTTGGAGCTCTTTATATGTATATTCTAGTTTTAATCCCTTATCAAATGAGTACTTCAAAGATATTTTCTTCCATTCTGTGGTTGTCTCTTCCCTTTGTTGATTGTTTTCTTTCCTGTGCAGAAGCTTACTATAATCCAGTTTGATCCATTTGTCCAATTTTGCTTGAGTTTCATGTGTTTTGGGATATTATGCAAGAAATAATTGTCCCCAGACTGATGTCCTAAAATATTTCCCCAGTGTTTTCTTTTAGTAATTTCATAGTTTTAGGTCTTAGATTTAAGTCTTCAATCCATTTGATTTTAATATATGGCAAGAGATAGGACTCTAGTTTCATTCTTCTGTATATGGATGTCCATTTTTTTCCTAGCAGCACTTATTGAAGAGACTGTCCTTTCCCCAACATATGTTCTTGACACCTTTGTCAAAAGCAAGTTTACTGTCAATGTGCAGATTTTTTTCTGGATTCTCTATTCTCTTCTACTGGTCTGTATGTCTGTTTTTATTGCCATGCCATTCTGTTTTGATTACTGCAGCTCTATAATATAATTTGAAGTCAGGTAATATGATTCCTCCAGTTTGGTTCTTTTTGCTCAAGTTGTGTTTGGCTATTCTGGGTCTTTTGTGGTTCCATGTAAGTTTTAAAATTATTTTTTCTATTTCTGTGAAGAAAGTTGATGACATTTCGATGTGGATTACATTGAATCCGTAGATTGCTTTGGGAAGTAAGGACATTTTAACAGTATTAATTGTCTATGCTCCAATCCATGAGCATAGACTATCTTTCCTCTTTTTTTAATGTCCTCTTTAGTTTTTTTCATTATATTTTGTAGTTTTATTGGTAGAGACTTTTCACTCTGGTTAAGTTTAGGCCTAGGTATTTTGTTTTTATTTATAGTTATTATAAATGGGATTGCTTTCTTAATTTCTTCAAATTGTTTACTATTGACATATAGTGAACTGATTTTTATATGTTGATTTTTTTTTCCTGCAACTTTACTGAATTTGTTTATCAGCTCCATAGGTTTTTTTTGGTGGAGTCTTAAGGTTTCTGTCTACAAATAAGAAGATTACTTTGCAAATAAGAATAATTTGAATTCCTTTCCAGTTTGGATGCCCTCTATTTCGTTCTCTTACCTGATTGTTCTAGCTAGAATTTCCAGCATTGTGTTGAATAACAGCAGTGAAAGTGGGCATCCTTATCTTGTTCCAGATCTTAGGAAAGTTTTCCATTTTTCCCCATTCAGTATAATAGGTATTTTCCTTCTGTATCTACTTGTATGAGTTTTTATCATGAAGGGGTGTTGCATTTTATCAAAGGCTTTTTCAACATCAATTGAAATGGTCATATGATTTTGCCTTTTGTTCTGTTGATATTATGTGTCACATTGATTTGTGTATGTTGAACCATCTTCACATCCCCAGTATGAATCCCATTTGATCATGGTGAATAATCTTTTTAATGTGTTATTGAATTTGGTTTGCTAGCGTTTTGTTGAGGATTTTTGCATCTATGTTCATCAGAAATTTGGCTTTTAGTCTGTTTTTTTATTGTCTCTTTCTCTGGTTTTGGTATCAGGGTGATGATACTGGCCTTGTAGAATGAGTTTGGGAGTATTCCCCCTTCCTTAATTTTTTGGAGTAGTTTAAGTAGGATTGGTATTAGTTCTTTAAATGTTTGGCAGAATTCAGCAGTGAGCCATCAAATGTTGGGCTTTTCTTTGATGGGAGACTTTTTCTTATTGATTCTCTCTCATTACTTGTTATTGATCTATTCAGATTTTTTTATTTCTTCCTGGTTTAACCTTGGCAGGTTGTATATATATATTAAGGAATTTATTTATTTCTTCAAGGTTTTCCGATTTATTGCTGTATGGTTTCTTATAGTAGTCTCTAATGATTTTTTGAATTTTTACAGTATCAATTGTAATGTCTCCTTTTTCATGAGTGATTTTATTTGCTTTATTTTATTTTATTTATTTCTCTTTTTTTAGTCTAGCTAAAGGTTTGTCAGTTTTGTTTATTTTTTTAAAAAACCAACTTAAGTTTTTCATTGATCTTTTGTGTTATTTTTTGGTTTCAATTTCATTTATTTCTGCTCTGTTCTTTATTATTTTCTTCTACTAATTTTGGGATTGGTTTGCTCTTGTTTTTCTAGTTTTTTCAGATGTGTTAGGTTGTTTATTTGAAGTTTTTCTACTTTTTTTTTAGAGACAAAGTCTCATTTTGTCACCCTCAGTAGAGGGCTGTAGCGTCATAGCTCACAGCAACCTCCAGCTCTTGAGCTTAGGTGATTCTCTTACCTCAGCCCCACCCTGAGTAGCTGGGACTATAGGCACCTGCCACAATGCTGGGCTATTTTTTGTTGCAATTTGGCTGGGGCCAGATTTGAACCTGCCACCCTTGGTATATGGGGCCGGCATCCTACTATTTGTTTCAATAAAATTTTAATTTCCTTCTTAATTTCTTCAGTGACCCACTGTTCATTCAGGGACATACTGTTTAATTTCCATGTTCTTGGATAGTTTCTAACTATCTAGTACTGCACTGATAATCTGTCTAGTACTACAAGTGGAGTTCTTGTTGTTGATTTCTAGTTTTATTCCATTGTGGTCACAGAAAATATGTGATATGATTTCAGTGTTTTTGAATTTTGTTAAGACTTGTTTTGTATCCTAACATATGGTCTGTGCTTGAGAATGAATGATCCATGAGCTGAAAAGAGTATATATTCCATAGCTATTGGATAAAGTGATGTGTAAGTATCTATTAGTTCCAGTTGGTCTACAGCGCAGATTAAGTCTAATGTTTCTTTGTTGATTTTCTGTCTGGATAATCTGTCTAGTACTGTTAAGTGGGGTATTCAAGTCTCCAACTATTACTGTGTTGGTGTTAATTTCTCTCTTTAGTTCTGATAATATTGTTTTATATATTTTGGTGCTTCAGTGTTGAGTGCATATATATTTAGAATTGTTATTTCCTATTGCTGAATTGACCCATTTATCATTAAATTAGACTTTCTTGGGTGGTGCTCATAGCTCAGTTAGGGTTCCAGCCACATACACTGAGGCTTGCAGGTTTGAACCCTGCCTGGGCCAGCTAAAACAATAATGACAACTGTCACAACCAAAAAGTAACTGGCATTGTGGCAAGTGTCCCAGCTACTTGGGAGGCTGAGGGAAGAGAATCGCTTAAGCCCAAGAGTCTGAGGTTACTATGAGCTGTGGTACCACGGCACTCTACCCAGGGTGACATAATGAGACTCTGTCTCAAAAAAAAAAAAAAAAAAAAAATTAGAGTTTCTTTGTCACTTTTTATAATTTTTGTATTGAAATTGGTTTTATTTGATAGAAGTATATAGCTACTCCTGTTCTTTTTTAGTTTCTGTTTGCATGGACTATCTTTTTCCATCCTTTTCTTTTTGGTCTATTCATGTCTTTATAGGTGAAGCAGGATTCTTATAGACCACATGTAGGTGAGTCTTTTTTTTTGGTCCATTCAGCCAGTCTGTGTTTTTTGATTGAAGAGTTTAGTCCATTTATATTCAGTATTATTCACAGGATAGTCCTTGTTAGTATAGTGATGTAAAAAGAAA